TAGAGTGCCAACGAGTCCTTTTGCTATCCCTGGGGATATGCACAGAAACGGAGGACCCAGATTGCAGCCCTAGGCTGCTCTGGAAAGGCTTAGATGAGAAATAAAATGAAAGATGAAGGAGCAGACTAGTGCAGTGCTGACTCTGAGAGAGTCTGGATGTAGGTACAAGCCTCCCCGCTGGCCTGCGTAGCTACAAAAAGCTGAAGGTAAATCCCACTGCTCAACAGCCCCTGGCATCCAGGAAAGATTTAGGCTAGAGCAACATCCTGTGCATTGAGCCTATAGTTAGTAATAATACCTGCCTCTTCTAGTACTTATCAGATACAGTTGAAAGCACTTTATAAAGGGGGCCAAACATCACTATGCCTATTTTACTGGTGGGAAACTGAGGCACAGGGGGACAAGTGATTTGCTGGACGCTATTTGCAGCACCAGGAAGTGAGCCCATGCTCCAGCCACTAGACAATACGAAAATAACATCATTTTTATTTTGCTCTTAGAAAATAAATTGCAAACTTGCCAATATTTTGGGCTGTCTGTACAAACACTGCCTGCCTCTCTGGCACTGCATAAACACGAACGAATCCCATACAGTTGAATAAAGAGGGGGAGAAAAGGGCTCTCAGGTTATCTAACCTAGTGTAAATTTTTAATGAATTATTCCAAGCCTCTGTGCAACAAAGCTCTGAGCATCTGACATATAATCGAAGAGCCTGGCTGCTTCCTTGCCTGCTGTTGAGAAGATGCTTGGGCTAGTGACCAAATGTAAGGTGGGGAGACTCTGCCGCTCGCGCTCTGTCCAGCTTTGGGCAGGTGGTGCAATCTGTCTGCTTCACCGTCCCCGTCTGAGAGCACGGGGTTAATAATCCTTGCAGCCCATGTTAGGAAGCTTGTGTAGCTGATGCTCATCCTGCCCTTTGGTAAGGCTTCCCATTGTAGCAACGTCTACCGTATTGTCTTGAAAAGCTCCCAGAGCGTTTCTAAGATGCCCTGCAAGAAGCAGCGTTGTGAGACATGCCTGGGAGCCCGATGCAGTTCAGCTCTGTAGACAGTAGATGGTGGCAATCTGGCTGTAATGAGCTGGGTTTCTCTCCGATGGAGTTATAACATGGGAAGGCCGAGGGAAAGCTGTCCTGCTGACTCCCCGTGTGGGCGTCTGTCAATGGGACCTCGCATCCTTTGCTTCAGACCCAAGTTCATTACCATGCTGCACAGCCCTGCCAGCTTCCCATCCCTTGTACTGTAAAGCATTTTCCGTAACGAATGCTGACGGCTGAAGCCGCTCCCTCTTTGTTCTCTGCAGCTGCTTATTGTGTCTCCTTTCCAGTCTTTGTTCTGCAATGCATGCCCTATTTTGGGAGCTGGCGGGCTGCGAGATTTGTCTGCTCTTGGAGAGTCTTAGGAACCGCTCGGCTAAACAACTTGATTTGAGAGAACCCATCTCATCCCCGTAATCGCTGCGTTACAAGATATTTCTGTGCTGAGTATCTGTGAATGAAAGGGAGACTGATCGCTCGATGATGACGCCTTGTTTTTTACATGCAGACAGAATCAGATTTTGGGCAGCATCCCCCCCAGATGCGAGCCACCTGCGTGCCGAACCCTGCCTAGCCTGTTATGTTGTTACTGGTTTCTCTCTAGAGCTAGTCACACAACCCCAAAGGCAAATAGCTGAATCATTTCTACACCAAAAAACTTGTCACTGAAAAGAAGGTGTTATTTTTGGCCTAATAGCTTTACAGTTGTTGTTCTCCCAAACCCCAAAACTCATTTCAGCAGAGGGGAGAAACTATTCATTTTTCCTTTTGCAACCAAATTTGGAAATGATTCAGTAACATCAATATATGTTTTTAAAGGTTGCATGATAACTTTCTCAGGAGAAACAGGTTGTAGCCGTATTGGTCTGGAGGACAAGGCAATCAGGACTCGTAGTAGTCTTTTATTAGATCTTTTATTAGATCTTTTTTCTCAGGAGAAACGGACATTGTTGACCCACCCTATTTCTACCCATGTTCATCTTCAGCAAGCTTGGCTGGTATTCAGGTCTGCTTAGCAGTGCTGCACAGGTCGAGGGAATTGGTGGGATATGTGGAGATGTATTCATTGTGTTTCATTCCTCCGGAGAGGTTGAAATGCCTCGATTTACTATGAGATGCCTGCCTGGCTGGTAAGGGCTGTTACTAGGATGCTCAGAGAGTTGCAAAGGGACCTTGGCCATAGCCTTTTGGGCTCTCCAGTCCTGCTTTGGTTTGCTGGTGGCGTGGGGAGCCAGCTTCACTGTTTATCCTGTGGCAGGTGAAGGTGGACCGGCCTGAGGTCCTGCTGGATGGACTGGCGCCCAGCACAGAGTACTCCATCGCGGTGTACGCGATGTACGGGGAAGATACAAGTGATCCAGCCAGCATCCAGGAAACCACCTGTGAGTTCTTGCTCCCTGACTCGCTGAACACTGCACTCGGGGCAGGAGAGGCTTATCCACTGAGATGCTTCCCATATTGTTCACATAGCTTGTAAACTGGCTTGCTTTTCCCCGACTGACATTAAACATATGTGGTGTCCCAAGGGTCTCTGTAGGAGTAAGAGATGCGTTTTCAATACAGGTGCCAGGACTGTGAATATGCTTCTATCCAGGCAAATTCTGATCAAAATTCAAGGTGTAAAAACTTCTTTACCTCTCAAGTCTCCAGTCTGGAATAGACGCCCCCCAGAAGTGGTGCAAGCACCTACTCTGGATACCTTCAAGAAATGCCTGGATGCTCACCTTCCTGGGGTGATCGGACCCGCTTTGGGCATGGGCTCGCGAGGTCCCTTCCAGCCCGAATATCTATGAAATCTATGTATAAAGACTGGCTCAAGAGCCAAATGCTTCTCTCATGTAGGGGGATGTTCACAACCAAAGTTTTGTGTTTGTGTGCCCTAATTATATGGCTTCTAATATCACACCCACTGTGGCATCTGAACACCTATTCCAGGGGCTTTGACCCACTCTACAACTAGTGTGAAAATTAGGATCATGATCTGAGCTACTTGCAAGTTTGAGGTCTTTGGATCTTGGGGTGGGCGGTGGGGTGGTCTGACCCTTCTCCACCCATATGCTAGACATCCTCGGAGGATATCACCCCATAGATAGGTGGAGCAGCATAGCCAGAGGCTACACATCCCATCCAGTGGGGAAGTCCAGTTGTTAAGGGGGGGGTGTAGGAAGCAGCCAGTGTTTTTACCTTCCTTTTCATACCCTTCTGATGACTGTCATTGCAGGGGCCTTAAGCCCCCCCAGGCACCTCGGTTTCTCAGAGATCAGCCACGGGTCTGTCCGGGTCAGCTGGGAAGCTGCGTCGCCTGATGTGAAAGCACACCGGGTCACCTATGTCTCCAGCCAAGGGAGCAACACCGGGGAGGTGAGTAGGCATCGCGGTGCTGCTCTAAAAGCAGGGCAGCAGTGCTGGAGGTTACCCCAATGGTGGAGTTACTCCTTGCCTCCAGGGACCTGAGAGCAGAAGGTGGCTCGGTCTGTCTTAGTTCATCAGCTGTCTTTTCCCTTGTGCAAGGGCCTCAGGCCTGGATTGTCAGGGGGATGGGAAAGCAGGCTAGCTCCCTGCTGCGACTTGGACACGGGTGTTTGTGTTTCATCGCAGGTCCGAGTTCCTAGCGGAGCATCCTCCACCACCCTGAAACCTCTGTCCTCTCTCACCCAGTATTTCATCAGCGTCAGGTCTGTTTATGATGAAGGTGACTCTTTCCCGCTCACCGGCAACGTTACCACGAGTAAGTCGGGTCAAGGTAGACTTTTGCAGCCATTGACCATAGTGCAGTGACCATCTGAATGGGGAATGCCACTTATAACCCAATCCTTTTTGGGGACATTTGGTCTATAGTGGAAATTTGTCCCCCCGCCCCGGCTGCGTGCCATCCTGAGGGAGGCAGTGGGAAGGACGCGAAGGGAAGGTGGCTGCGCTTCGGAGCGGAGCCGCTCCGAGACGGCTCATACGGAGCACGGAGATTTTTAAATGAGAGGGAAATGGTTCCCTTTCCTTCTTCCCTTTGCTTTCTCTCGCTCTCTGCCTCTCTCCGGGGGATTATGTAACCGGCAGAAATTATTAATTTTCCAGCAGCAAAGGAAACGCAGCGTTGGCTGCTCCCACAGGCAAGGTCCTTGGAAGTCTCCTGTTTGCAGTAGCTGGATGGTGTAGGACTTGTTAGCTTGGTTGATGCAAAACAGTGCATGCAGGCAGGAGCCCCCCCAACACCCAAAGCTGTTTGGAGGAGAGATGCCACCCGTTCCCTTGCTCCCCCAGCCCTTGCCGCTCATCTCCCAGCCAGGCTGCAGCAGCACTTGCATCTCTGGGCAGTGTGCAGGCAACGCTCTGGGAGGCTTAATGCAGTGCAATCAGGAGACTGGGCCTGGGATATGAAGCCTTCTACCTCTTGGAGATTAATAATAGCTCCCAGCAGCAATTCTCCCTCTTCTCTTCCCCTGGTGGGGCCAAGGGCTGCAGCACCTGCACTTCGCGCTCTTGAGACTCTCACTGTGACATTTCCACCAGGCAGGGGTCCACACCTGATTTGCTTGGTGATTTGTATGGGCAAATGGTGCCCAGTAGGTAGGTAAATACAACCTTCTTGTCTGCTCCCCTTTTGTGCTGGGGAAATAAAATGACACAGGGCATTTATAATAAAAAGTCCAATCCGTCAAGGGGGCTTCATTGCTCTTCCACTTGTTTCTGTCTCTTCCACTCCCCATCCCTGCCATTGTAACTGCTGCCAATCACTGTCCTTCTCCTTTTCTTCATTTCCCTTCTCTTCCTTGGTTTTCTGCCCCTCTTTTGGGTGGGTGCTTGGTCTCGCCTGTGCCTGCCCACTTCTCCTCTCTCCCCCACAGGTACTTCCCCCGTCAGCCCATTGAAATGTGTTTTTGCCCCTCCTAAACCTTCACCTTCCTCACTCAGGATTTTCTCCTGGTTTCCAATTCCCTGTGCTCATGCCCTTGCTATCCAGCTCGGCCTGCATCTTGCTTTGCTGCACGCAGGAGAGTTTGGCCTCTTGTATCTGGGCTGTTCTGTGGATGTCTCGTCTCCCTTGCATTTCCCAAGCAGCACAGCAGGACAGCAAACTGATAAAGATGACAGATAATATTTTCTGAGCAAAATTAAAATGCAGAAGAATCTTTTTCTACTTTCAGGCAAAACATGGGGCTGCTTTAACTCTTCCTATGCCTTATCTAAGGGGGTCAGCGCTAGAGCTGGATAAATAAGTCATAACCGTTAATATTATTCAGCAAATCCCCCCCCCGCCTTCCCATGTGTGACTCACCCAGAAGCAGCCTGGGAGATTCTTGGATGCATTCATGATTTGAAATTATTCACGGATTTCACAGCCGACCCTTGTTGCTCTGTAGATGCAAAGGTTTGCCGTTTGCACTGTGGCTGAAAGCCATGCAGTATCTCTTCTGGCTCCTGACTGCCAACATCTTATGACAATGGCAGGGCAAAAGTTGAGTGCAAAACGTTCAAAAGCCCCTGTCTGGCCATGAGCAGTGCAGCCAGGGTCCGCTCACATCAAGCTCTTTGTAGAGTCCGGGGCCTAGCTTGCATTGTGAACAAATCTTTGTTAAAAGTGACACCATTTCAAACTGGTGTTTGCGTGATTTTTTGCTTAAAATAGGCATATAGTCCTGGAAAATGATACCGAAAGTACTCAGTGCAAAACCCGAGCAAATATTTGTGGGATGGGGTGGCGGGTGGGGGGGAGAGGGGGTGTGTGAAATGCCTAGCCGTGTTACTTGAAGTCTCCCCGAATAACACCTTAATTATACCAGTGCCAGGACTTGTGTGAACACCCAGGAGCAATGAAGTTGAAACCAACCCATCCTAAATTATAACCGTGAAGATGAGAAGGAAACAGACCCTCTTGATTTCCTTACCTTCTAGCCTGGGGTGTAGCACTCACCTCTTTGTCCTTGAAAACCCTTCCCAGCCTCTTCCCCCACCCAAGTGCCAGCACGGTAGCATTCCTTCTGCAAAATGAAATAATTATCCTTAATTAGCATTAAAAAAAAATATTTTATCCCTGTCTGTCTTGATGGGCTGCTGTAATCGGGGGGGTCTGACAAAGTGAAAGACAGGCTGGTTGGAGCCAGCTGCTCCTTGAATGCTTTTCACCTTGACCATCTGCTCCAACCGGGGCTCTGACAAGACGGTGTCAGCTCCTGATCCTCAGCTTGTTTCCTTCTGTGTCTCAGCAAAAGTTCCTCCACCGAGCGCTGTGAAGGTTACCGAGCTCTCAGGAAACTATGTCCGTCTGCAATGGGAAGCGGCCGCGGCCTCCGACGTGGTCGTCTATCAGATTAAGTGGAATGTGCTTGGCGAGGAGAAATCTCAGGAGGTATGGTCCAGTGAACACCTGCGGTGGTGGGGGGCATGCTTATGATGAGCAGGCTGGGGCTGTGATGTTTCGATGATAAGCTTACCTTTTTATTCCTCTAAAAGAAACATGAAAATAGCATCAGACTATTGTTCCATGTGGCCATCCTACAACTGGCCTCTTGATAACCTTGACCTGGAGTATTTTGGGGCATGCAATCACAATACCCAGTTGCAATTTTTTTACAGTTCAGTTCATGCATTTATTTCTTGGGGTCCCTCCCATGGTTAGTTGAGTCTCCTGTGGGATTGTGTAAGGGACAGAGTAGTTTGAAGTCTTTACCTGGAGTTTTAGCAACTTCTATTCAATGGGTTTTTTTTATTTTTATTATTACTGAACCTCAAAATATGAGCTTGACTTATTCAGGGTCAACTTATAATTGGAACAATATGTTGTATGCTGGCATTGGGCTATGAGGGGTGCCCAATATACACGTGGACTAGTGCTTTTGAAGCTGCTCCAGTTAATGTGCGTGATGTAAAATGCAGTCTGTGTGGGGAGAAGTGACGGGAATATGTCAAATGTGTTTCCTTTGTGCAAAGTAATTGAGGCTTCTTGAGTTTTGGGGTTGCAGCCCTTGTACCACACACCAGCATCCCACAGTCTGCACAATGGGTTGCTGGGGTCAGAGTCCAGTTGGGAAGCTTTTGCCCCAATCTACTGTGGCTCAGCACCTGTAGAAACGTCGCAAAGAAGAGCCTTGATTGCAGGTGAAACATCTCATGTCTTCATACGTCTGCAAACACTCGGTTCCTTATGCAGAGAGGACGTGGGGCAAGCTATTGCAGGAGATCACCTTCTCTGTAGAAAGTGAGACTCTCCAGAGAAGTCTCCCTTGTCATGAAGGGACTTCAGCCTTTGCTGTTTTATTTCTTGCTCGTTGCCCTTGCCTGGGACCTCCATTTACAGACCTTTCTCTTGCATATCACAGCTCTCTGTTGCTGGCAATGTGGCCAATGCTGTTTTGCCAGGGCTGAAGAAGAACACAGAATACCAGATATCGATGTGGGCGTATTACAAGGATGGTGCACGAAGCGACACGGTCTCTATTCAGCACAGGACCAGTGAGTGATGAGTGCACGGGTCCTGTGGTTATAGGGGAGGGAATTGCCCATGGGATATCTTGGAACTAGTTGCAAGCCAGTCACTCAGGTGTGACCATCGCTGCATGTGAGGCCTTGGGTTTGTGATTCTCAAAGGGATCGCTGATTTTGGATGTCCACCTTTGGGCATCCTCAAGGGTCCCGAGTGTCTCCTCTCTGAAAGCCATGCCTTCTTCCTACCTGCCACTGAAGTGGGCTCCTGCTGCCACAGATGATGTGCTGTAGGCTGGGACGTTGCAGATCTGCAGCTTGTGCAAGAAAGTCGATCACATTTGGTACCCTTGAAGCAGAGCACAGTCCTCTTTTCTGTTCCCTTCTCCCCACCCCCATAAGAGAATACACCATGTATTGGAGCAGATTGTCCCGACTTACCACGGGGTGTTTAATTTGCCGTGTCGACGTTGCTTAATGCACGTTGCTTGTTTATCAAATGCTGTCTATTAAGGAAGGTGCAAAAACCGGTGGGTGCCTAATTGCTGAGTCACTCCGCACCGGGGGCACTTACATAAATGAGAACGAACCCTGCAGTCAAATGCTGCTTGGAGGAAGAAGCTAAATCTTGCTTTGCATGGAGGTTAAAAAAACCGGCATTCCCAAAGGTTCTCCTAATTAATACTTCCCACCTAATGGCTTTGCTGGCAGTGAAAGGAACACGATTCATTTAATATCCGCAGTCTCCTCCATCTCCTATTCCTCTGCCGCCTTAGTTCTCAACTTTATTTGCAGAGCAAACTTGTTTAGCTGCCGTATTGTGTTTTCTGAGTTGATGAAGATCAGAGTAAATGGCCGTCTTGGAATCGAAAGCTCTGGTTTTATTAATAATGAATAATGATGATAATAACAACATGTTCTTGCAGAACGCTGCCCTAGCTGGGCCTTAAAATGCTGCACAGCAAAAAGGGGAATCAATGCAACAGATGCAGTACACCATAGTTGTCTATAAGACAAAGGGACAATTACAGCTAGTTAGAGGCTTCATCAAACAGTTGGATATGTTTTGAAGCCTGAGTAGTAAAATAACAGAGCAGATCCACATCATACAGACCACTGCAAATGGTCCGTGTTGTGGCTGTCGGTGTCAGGCTTCAACGACAGGCTGAGGACATTGCTGAGCCTGAATTTCCTATTCCTTGCTGAAGAGGCTTGTGGTCCCACTGGCTGGAAAATGGCTCAGGCCATGGGTGTCCTGGTGAAGAAAGTGCTAGGCAAGGCAGACACAGGTTTGGGGCTTCAAACTGAACCAGGAAAAGCTTCTTTGGAAGAAAAAAAATAGATTATTTCCATGGTTTTGCTCCCCTTTTATAACCAAAGTCTGGAGGCTGAGGCTAGGGACAGACATGACTCACAAAATGATTTAAGTGATCAGAAGCTGGTTTAAACCTGTAACAGAACAGATGTTCAATGCACATAAGCCCACGTGAACATGGCTAAAACTGGTTTGAGATGCACCTGGTTGAATGTAGTATCAGACTTAACTGATTTGGGTCAAACCAGTTTATGCAATGTCTGTCCCAGACCTGAGAAAGCACCAGCAATTCAGACAGTATGCAAGCTCTCTGCTGTATTTCATCTCTGGAAACTAGTGCCTGGTGCCAGAACAAAGTGCAAAATGCAGTGGATGTGGGGGATGGAAGGTGACTCCATTGCTGGTTTTTCTTTTCCCTTTCTTGTCAGCGCCCCTTTAAATTAGAAAAGTTTCAGCCATGAAGGTTGGGTTTTTTTTTAACTTTTTAAAATAGTGTTGTACGGAGAATCTTGAAAAAAAACCACAATACTTTAAGGGAAATCTTTGAAGGCAAACACAGCGGGGAACATCAGTAACACAAGCTGCCCTCGATCTCTGCTTCTCCCTTGAATATCCTCCCCTTGGAAAAAATCGAGTCAGTGAAATACCTGCCTCGGTGTGCTGGTTTTGTGAAGTGAACCTATATTCCTCCCTAAGGGATGAGGTAAGAGCACTGAGTTCATCTTAATTAGGACCACATCCCAGCTCGACGCTCAGTCCAGGGGGACGTGGTTGTGTTCAGGGAAAGCTGGTTATGAGAAGTAGGATCCTTAATCACCCACTACTAAGCGTTACCCTCTGCTGTCGAGTTGGGCTGGGATTTTTTTTCAGTAAATTTGTTGGAAAGTGTGATTTCAGCTGCTCAGAACGATGCGGACATTGCACTTGAATTCACTGAATATCCCCTCTGGGGAAAGGCGGGGGGGTTATCTTTGTTGATAGAGCCACAAAATACAGCCACAGACCCCACCCTGCCCCATAGCCAGTGGTTAGGACACTCACGAAAGATGCAGCACCCCCATTTAATTCCCTGCCCCCTTGATGGGGTTTCCATACATCTTTCCAGCCTCCCAGTGAAGCCCCAAGACCACAGGGCTAGCGAACGTTTCTATATTTTCCAAACATAGGGCTCTAGTTCAACTGTCCAGGTTTCCATCATTGCCAGGGTAAATTATATGGGCTGGGAACTGAATACAGATCAAAGCAGCTGAGATTCCCAGGAGCAGAGCCTGGATAGAAGTAGCAAGCTGATGGTTGGTAAAGAAGGTGAAGACGACTTATGGTGAGGAGCAGAGATGTTGGGAAGAAGCCAGGCTATTTCTCAGCCAGGGCATACACTGTGCACATAATAGTGATGGATTGGGTGAACCTAGGAGAGGATGTTTGAAATGGGCAGCGGTGCCTCTTAGCACAGAGAGGTCTCTGGGGCTTCACTGTTATCTGAGGATGTGTGGGTTTTATGATTAGCCTGAGGAGTCAGGCAGCCGGCAGCCCTGCTGTGGAGGAGGAAAGCTAGAGGGAGGTTTAGGGGCAGCACAGGACACTGGTGCAGATGGCACCGCTGTGCTGGAAGTACTGGTTTCCTCCTGGGCAACCTGGGAATGTGACCTTTCCCTTCTCTATCAGATCTGTGCTGTCAACTTCTGCCAGGACCTGGGAGCTTTCAAACAGTCTCTCCTTGCAAGCCAGTCTCTTAAGGTTGCAAGACTAAGGGGAATCTGGGGTTCATCTTAGCTGAATGTCATGGTCAACACAGACCATAAACCTGGGAGAGATTCAGGATAGGCCAGGGTGTAATTGGAGGTATCCTGCATGCTGTAAAGCAGTGCTGTGAAGAGACAGCCAGACCCTTGGGTGACAGGCCACCTGGGCTAATCGACTCTGCATCTCAGCAGAGCTCAGTCGTAGCCCATGCAGACTCCTGCACTAATGCAAGCAAACAGCTTCCAGAGCCCGAGCAAACCCTTTCAGAGGTACTTGGGGTATCTCTGCCCAGCACTGCATTGTAGATGCATGTTGTAGGGCAGAGGTGGCCAACCTGCGGCATGGGTAGCCTCTGCGCATGACGCAGCCGCAGAAAGACGAGCAGCTAACTGGGCAGGGAGTGCAAGGGTGCAAGGCAGGGAGCAGAAAGCAGAGCAGCAGATCGGATGGGGAAGGGGATTGGAATGGCATTTGGGGTGTAGGGCTAATTTGTGGCTGCCCTAGGGGATAGTGCAACTGGAAGAGCATGCTGCCACACACTGGTTTGCATGCATGGATTATTTTCACCCTTGATCTTACCCCAGGGCAGCTCTGCTGGCACTGACGTTGCAGGGAGCACTGGTGTGTGGACAAGGCTCTTTTTCCCTATATGAGATCTCTACTCCTGCCGGATGAACTTGCAATAAGGAAAGCATGGCGCATATATTATTTGGACTCTGCTGGAACTCTTTAATCTTTTGAATAAAGATGAGCGGGGTCGGTTGCTTGCTTTTGGTTTTTTTATGTTTGGTTTATTTGGGTTTTTTTGTTTTGATTTCTATTTGCTTGGGAATTGAGCACCTGCCCTGGGCTCAGGCAGGCTGTTTCCCTGCCTCCCCCTCTGCCATGGAGCAAAGAGGCTTCAGTTTCTCTTTGCCTGCCTCACCTGGGGATGGCGTGTAGCAACGGCTTTGAAGCTCGGTCAATAATTTTTTATTCGGTTTCAGCACCACCAAGCTTATCTGACCCAGAAAGTGGAAAGGGAATCAATGAGAATGCAAATGAGCTGCCACTTCATGCAAAGCATGTGCTGAGGTCGCATGGCTGGAAAGTGGGATTTTTATGCTGCAGACAAAGCTGGAGAGGAGAGATCTCATGCCCTGGAAGCAGCCCTGTCCTTGCTTCTCCTCTGGGCTGAGCTGCCAATTTCTCTTCGATTCCCTTTCCCTTCCTGGGTTTGAAGACCAGGCCCTGTCTCTTTGGGTAGGGCAAGTAACCCTTTGGGAAAACGGGGGTGACCCCCTGTTTCTTCCTCGAGCCTCATGCACTGTGTTGCCTTGTACCATGCAGCCCTGCCATCGATGTTAGCCCCACGCTTGCAGTATGTCCACTATGATGCAAGTGCTAATTATTATTGTTGTTCTCTCTCCCAGTCTGGAAACTAGGGGCTTCACAGTTACCTTGCCCAGTAGGACTGGTGCTGATGCCATAAGTCATTAACTCCCTGCCTTTGCCACTGTAGGACTGTCACTGAGAACAGGCTCTGCAATAGGAGCCATGCCCAACCGTGGTACGAAATGACTCTGTGAGATGCACAGGTGGCACGAGGGAGGACTAGCTTCATCACGTCATGCACTGCTTGGTCTATACTCCATGATATCCTTGATCCCATACACATGTTGGGGAAGCAGGGGATACACTAGTATATTTTTTATGCTCCAAGAAGTCCCTTCTCCTTTCCAAAGTGTTTCTCTTCCTTCTCTGCTGAGACCTGTCTAAACTCCCAGGCAATGTCCTCTTCTCTCATATCTGCTCTCTCCTCCCCGCAGTCTCTACAATATCTCCATCTCTGTATACACCTCTGCTTATTATAGCAAAAGAGCAGGGAAGCAAGTACCAACGATCCGGACAGTGAGTATCCCTCATCTTTGTTCCTGCTGCAGGTTCCAGGAATCCACCCACCAACCTGTTCATCGATTCAGAGACCACCAGCAGCCTGCAGATCCATTGGACACCCCCAGACGGCCGCATCCAGCACTACAGAGTGACCTATGCCCCCAAGTCTGACGAGAGCGCTCGGGAAACAGTAAGTGCTTTGGAAGTCGACTTCACGCCAGATGTAACTCCATTAAGGCCAGAGTTTTGGGGTTGTAGCCGTGTCGGTCTAAGGACATAGGCAGGCGAGGCTCTTTGAGTAGATGTGATGTCTTTAATTAGACCAGCTGAGTAGTTGGAAAAAAGTTCTTGCCAAACTTTCAGGTGGAGTCACCCTTCTTCAGGCATAGGGCGTCTCTGCTGCTCGAAGGCTCCGTTACTGCAAGGAATTTGGTGCTCAGAAGTGACCCCGCTTCCTCTGTCTGATTGACTAGGAAGAGGTTCTCCAGTTGTGTGTCTGACCCAAAGCCTTTTAGGCTCCTTTTTGGGTTTTCTGTATAAGACATTAGTAGAATTCGTCTTGAAATCTCTCTTCCGAGCATCCCCTTTCCTCCCTAGACTGGAGCGATGGAGAATTAAGGACAAATGTACTACCCCTGCTACCTAGAGGGGTTGAGCATTCATCTTTAATGCTTAGGTTCTCCGCTTGGCTCCAGAGAGACTGCAAGGTCATAAGGAAGTTTTAAAGTCCTCTGGACTTTAAAACATGTCCTATGAAGAACTACTCAGCACCTTGATCAGCCTTGATGACTGCCCTCCTGCCGGTCTGTAGGAAAAGGAAGCAAGTTCTCTTTCTTCTCCCTTTCGGCGGAAATTGGACACACAACAGCCCTTTGCACGGTTGAGAATCTTCTCCGATGACCTGAAGTGAATCCAAAGTGAATTCAGCAGGATACTAAGGATGGGGGATGTAGGGTGTTTCTATAGTCTTGGATAGCTCGCATGCTTTGTGTTGTATCTGCATGTGAATAAAAGCCTAAACGAGAACCTTGCTTGAGCATAATCCATTCGTCTCCTCCCTGCTGCAGATAATAGCTTCTGGTAAAAGTAGCGGTGTGACTCTTCAGTCTCTGCTCCCCAGCACGGCATACAAGGTGATGGTTTCTGCCATCCACAACACAGGAGAGAGCGACACCGTGTCTACTACTGGCCACACTGGTAAGCAAATGGGCAGTCACTCCTTATCCCATATGCATCTTTCCTTTTATCCATAGATCCCCACTGAGTGGTGCAATCGTTGTCCCCATTAGACGAGAAGGCCAAAAGCCTGGGGAAAGCAATGCTAACTGTTACATGGCAGGGTCAGGCCGTGAGAAGTGCCAGGACTTTGCATGTGTGACCACGCTCTGCTCTTCAGACACTGAAACTAGGCCACAGAATATTCAGGGTTAAAAATGATGTACCCAAAGGGACTTATGTCCCCTATGCCCTTTTGCAAATATTAACTTCTTTGAAAAGGTGGGCAAGGGGAAGCCTAAAGGTGTTTGGGCTGGAACAAGGTGCCGCTCAAACAATATGCCCATCCAATATGGTGTTTTTGAGACATGACTGCCTTTGGAAAGGGCACAGGGAAGGCTTATTGGCCTTGAAGAATAGAGAGCCAAACATCCCAGTTCCAGGAGCAGGACTCATGAATACATGGTTTTTTTTTTCCAGCTTCTGCATTGACTAAATTCCCTTCAACACGAGGATTTCTTCCCTTCAAAATGGAGGGTAAGTCAGCCTTGCTCCCAGTGAAGTTCCCAAGCATCCTCTTCTAGCAGTAAAAGTGCAGCATCTGGGTCATATTATTTTAAGCAGGATGGGGGGATATATGTTATCTCTCCCCTGGTTGCAAGCGGTACAGGGGACATGAATCTGTCCAGCAAGAAGCAAAATACATGCAAAACCATCAGGCTTAGAGTCTCTTAAAGTGAGCTCCTGGCAATACTTTAAAGGCTCATGTTCATATGTACTCTGCTAAAATAGAGCAACAAATATATGTCAGAAATACTTTAAATTAAAGCCCCAAATAAAACGTGTTATTAAATTTAATGATGAGTGTATGCAGCTACATTTGCAAGCTACATGATGTAAAGCATGTTATCCAGTGAATTAAGAACAAATGTTGTACAGGCGGGGATATAAAAAAGTGATTATAAAGCAAATTATAGAATACAGATACTGTGGAAACAGCGTATGTAACTCTCCATTTGAAATGCTGCTAATAGAAATTCAGCTTTAATACTTATTAGGGAAAGTCTAGGGGGGGAAGCAGATTAACTGAGAAAATCATCATTTGTAGCAAACAAAAGAACATATCAGCCTAAATTTTAAAGTGGCTTATTGTTAAATTGTATATTGATTTGCATACTTAGACCATAATGCAAATGTCCTGTGGAAGTTAAAATGGAAAATAACAGCCCATAAGGTTTATGAGTCACTCTGTGGAATTTAATAGCGAACCATCTTTCCGATGGGGTTCAAAAAGCCAATAGAAAAGATAATAAACCCTATAGGGTTTTAAAGTTGTGCCTGTGACAGAAGACCAGCTGACATGTAACAACACTGCAAGTGCTGTAAGAGTTGCTCTATAAGAATCTGAGAATATTGGTAGCTAACCTAGCTATTGGGAGACTCAATTCGAGGTTGCAGGATGCTTGTTGTACACCGTCAGGCTTGAATTCAAGAGGAGCTATAAGAAGAACAAGGAGAGAAGAATCACCAGGACTCATGAGCACACCCAAGCTCTGACGTATGGAAGGATAGCTACCAGATACCCCGGTGTAGCCAATTTAGAAGATGGTGATTTTTGCCCCACTTGGCTTAAAATGTTTGTCACTGTTGGGTAGCCTGCATCGCTCCTATATGGCAGCTGGCAATCATGTTTGGAAACACTCATGGTCTGCTCTACATCCCAGACCCAAAATACTGCAACTTTGAGTTCTTGCCTCTCATCCTGGAGCACTGGGCAGGGGTGATGTCCTTGCTGAGGCTCTTGTAGTTGTGGTAACTGTACCTAAAAGACCAGGGGCCAAATGGTTAGAAACATAAGAACATAATAAGTTCCATACTGGGTCAGACCAGTGGTCCATCCAGCCCAGTTTGCTGTCTCCAACTGTAGCAGGAATGGATGTTATGGAGAGAGGGCATTGAATCTGGTATCTTTAGAGTGATCTAACCCCTATTCACTATCCTTGGTATCCATCATTAGTGGTTTAGAGATGCCATAGGAAACATCTCCAACCTTTCTATTCAATACCAGTCAATAGATCATCTATCATCCATAAACGTATCCAGTCCCTTTCTGAACCTGGCTGTGCTATCTGCCTTCGCCACATCCTGCGGCAATGAAGTCCACAAGTATGCATTGGGTTAAAAACTATGCCTTGGCTTGGAGGATGTTGTGTCCAAGCTGTGCCTTGCTCCATCTGGGAGCTGGCAAATTGGAGGGCTATAAAACAGCATGCAGGTTCTTGCAAAGCAGAGGTGAGTGGTGAAGGATTGGCCAGGGAGGGTTCATAAGCACGGGGTGGATCGTAGGAGTTAGTCCTCCTATGGAGTCCAGATGGAAAATGGTTAAACACCTGCTAAGCCAGCAGGCATATAACCTGTCCAATTGTTTTAGGTGTCCTCTGACATGCTTTGGTTCTCAATAAGTGATAGAAGAAGAAGGCTGTGTATTTGCTACTTACTGCTGCAGCGGCCTCAAAGCAAGCAGAATTGCAAGGTGTAGAAATGAATTTATTGAGAAAACCACAGTTGGTACATAGGACCTACCACCCAGCTCCCAGTTTGAGTGGAAGAGCTGAATGATGCCGTCCTGATAGAGAGGTGGTGGCCCAAGACCTACCGAGGGGTGAGCAGTGTAGACCATCCAGGGATGGGGCCAATTTGGTTGGAATCCTATCAGCTTTCTGTGGCTCCCCTATTGCTTTTAGTCTCGATTCAGTGGGAATCTCCCAAGAAGGAAAAGCTGGCATTTCCATTAGCCGACACCAATGTAGGTGAAAATAAGCATGGAAAACGGTTCCAGGCTTAGATTTTGCATTCCCTGCAGCTGCCAGTACCACATCTGCTGGGTCCGTGTCCTACCCAGGAACACCATGGCACTATCAGCCTGCGAGACAAAGCGGTGGATGGGAAAGGGCGGAAATAAATGCAGTAAAACTGGGCTTTTAAAATGTCCCTGTGCTTGTGAAGCGGAGAAGAAGGGAAGGACTCTTTCTCCCTTTCTCCCCCACCTTTTCTTACATTGTTAACGGAAGTCAGGTACTGAAGACTGGAAGCCCTGCCTGTCTGGTAGAGCTGTCAAATGCCCTAGGATGTAATAACAGCAATAGAATGTTTTTAATGAAGCCTTAATATAATGAGCAGCTAAACTGCGTTAAAACACTGACCTAAAAAGCCATTTATTAAATAGTCCATCTTCTCAAGTGACCTTGATTTTCAGGGACATCACTGATTTTTTTGCATCAAACATTCTCCTTGTCCCAGCTCCATCTGGCAGCTATGGCCAGGGATTTCAACAGCAACAAATAATTGAAAGGAGTGCTCGTGCGTGGATTCTTAAAACACTCCTTTACCCAAACCATTTATAACTCAAGCTCTTCACCAAAGAGCCTTTGATCCCAGTCTTTTGTCCCCAATTTGTATGAGCTGCATTTCACACGCGCAGCTTCAGAGATGTTCTAGGATTTAGCAGGGGATTTCCTTTAAAGGTGAACTGCAGAGGTTTGCCAAAGATGTGCAAGTTTCCAAATTTAATTACCAAGTGTCTATGACAATGAAAGAATATGCATCAGCCCAGATGTGCAGAGATACATGATCTGTGTGCAGAGTTTTTACCTTTGTGAATACACATGCCCTTTTGCCTGTAAATGCATGCACAGCTGCTTGTATCCACAGCTTGGAGAATCTCAGCATGAATGACTGTCTTATAAAGACAGGGAGGGAGATATGTTTGCAAAGGTGGAATCAGAGGTCGGGGTACAAAAATGGGCACGCAGTTACATTCCTTCAAACAGGTTTGACATCTAGATTGTGGCTGACCAGAATTACCTCCAGGATGAGCAAATTATGACCGCATTTAAGATTGTAATGGACCAGCAGTACTAGATTGATTTGTTCAAAATAAAAAAGGTATAATAAAGCCTGATGATGAGAGGGGGAAATCATTTCATAGTTGACCTATGTAAAACCTTGCATATCACTATCTTTTCACGTGCAGATTGGCTATGGGAATATAGTTTCTTTTTGCTGATCTGATTTTTCATGGATGAGTGAGAAATCTGTAGGGCTCAGGACAGAAATTATGCATAAACCAGTATAAGTGATTGGAAACTGGATCAAATCTGTAACACAACAGAAGTTCAGTGCACATAGACCACTTTCAAAATGGCCCAAACTGGTTTAAGATAAACCTGGATGGATGTACTATCAGACTTCACTGATTTAAGTGAAATCGGTTTATTGGACTTCTGTCCCAGATCCCCTCCAGATTTAAGTTAACTCACAGTCCCCCAGCATCCCAGGATGCTTTGCACCTCCTCTGTAACCACCCTTCTTGCAGGACTAGTGTTGGTCCAAGCTGTCTGCTCCAGCCCAGCAGGGAGGCGTGCTCTAGCGCCCCCTGGCTCTTGGCCTGGGCCACTGCAGGCGTGTGGCTGCATTTCCAGAATCAAAAGTGAATGTCTGTTCACTTGCTTATTGGTTCAGTCTACACAGCTATAGACTAGCCTGCAAAGACTGAATTGATTCAGTCTCAGGCTTTTTGACTGTCTGTACTTAGCCTAAGGGGCATGTCCTCAAGCCTTTGAAAATACGGCCCGAATACATGACTATTGGCTTACTGGTGCATGTAGTCCTCAGTGTACCCTCGGACTGGGCTTGGCTTGGAGGAATTGACCAAAATGTACCGATAAATCTAACAATATGTATTTTATGATATAGTGTCTTCCTGGGCTTTCCATTCCTCTGCTTCCTTCATATACCATGATTGTCTTGCTTGGGTTCTCATCAGCTTCCTTCCCCCTTCCCTTGTGTGTGCTTTTTTTTTTTCTTTTTGCAGCTTGCCCCACTCTCAACTCCGTCGAAGGATCTCTACAAGGTATCTTAGGAGTTTTAAGCCTCAGTTGTGTTCGGCCATGAATGTGAAAACAGACTGATCCTATCAATTCACTAACAAGCCTTGCTGTTGAGTAGCACTGTGGGGAGTACAGGGGTGCGGTAAGAATATGCATGTTAACCACTGTCAGGGTTTCTGATGCAACATCAGTAAAGAAAGCCACATCAGTACCTCTGTCTCCCTTTAATCTGCAAAGCAGCTCAGTCTCTGCATGTAGAAGCCAAAATAACCAAGCCATAAACCTTGGGGCAAACATTAGCAAACACCCGGCACCATCAAGGCCCTTTGACTTGGCATCTTCACTGGGCTGGCGGATCCAGTGTATAATGTGGTCATCATTACAACTTACATTTCACATATAACCATTTATATTATTGTATGTGATGCACGTTTTAATGGGGTTGGTAATTCCAGGATTCAGAGGTAGGTGACTCTGAGGTGGATCAGATGAACTCTTTAATACTGCATCATAAAAGTGCATCCCCCAGCAGCCTTAAGCCAGAACCGCAGCCAGAACTGCGGCGCAGTAAATCCTAAGTGAGGAATGAGGCAAGAACGTGTTCCTTTTCCTATTTATAATGAATTAGTTCTCTCCTTCTCCCCCCTACATGCCCCCTTCAGCCCAGCCTGCTGTAAGTTCAGATAAACTAAAAAAAGAATTGCAATTGCAAGGTCTGAGCATATTAAAATCTGAAATGAGAAAGTGACTCAGAGAGCTGTAATGACGAACCAGGAAGAGAGATGAAGCTATGTGAAGCTGCAGATGAGATGTCAAAGATGTCAGGGGAGAATCTTTGTAGACTGCCTGAAACAGGTCACCTCTGTGTAGTGCTTGAAGAATAGGGAGAGAAATGGAAATACTTAATTTTTTAAAATTATTTTCCGACTTTTATGGTTCTCGCCTATGCAAGGACAAATTTCAGAGCAAAAGATAATGCTCTTCCCACCTCCCCCCACAAGCAATTACTGGACTGATTCCACTTCTTTGATTATATGTTGCATCAAGTTGAAAAACTTGAATGTATTAGAACCCTCTTTTTTCAAAGAGGTGTGTGTGTGTGTGTGTGTGTGTGTGTGTGTGTGTGTGTGTGTACACACATACACACACTTTTTCATTCTGGAGCTTTGAAAAACATCATTGCAAGGGTATAGAGCAAGGCAGATTTGCACCTTATAGACCAACTAAATCACAAATGTATAGCATACATTTTGTAAGCAGAGGGCTTACTTCATCCAATGCTGCGAAAGGACTGCATTACATCTAACTCACCTTGCCGATAAATGTTCTGTTCCCAACTCCAGACTTTTAGCAAGAGACACTGAGGGCCAGAGTTTCAGAAGTGCACATGCTCTGCTCCCGAGAGAGAAAATTTGCAATTGCCCGAGCGGGATCCAAGGGTTTTGGTCTGTTTTGAAAATCCATCTTGGAAACTGTCTGCTCCTCAGTCACCCACCTCTGGAAAATAGACCTGTGCACATTTTCTGCTAAGACAAAGAGACAATTTGGTGGCAAATGTTGGTAAAGGATCCAAATCCAAATGCAGTCGGGCTGTTGACTCGTGTAGAGCCCTCTCCCTTCCTCGCATGCACTCGCCCTCGGAAGTAACAAAGAGCAGTCATTTTTCAGGTAGACCACTTTGAAAAGTTTTTTTCCTTCTAAATGTTTCTTAATTTACCTCTCTCTGTTCCAGGATTTGATATAATGGAGGCTTTTGGACTGGTGGAGAAGGAATATGCCTCCATTAAAGGAGTGGCTATGGAACCGTATGTGTTCAGTGGCTCCCGGACTTACACTCTGTTCAGAGATACTCAGCTGACCCGGAGAACCAGGTAGCTTGGGGAGGTGGACGTGAACAGGGGAAGATGCTCCATGAATTGTGTAGCTGCCCATGCAAATGCACTTCAGACCATATCCGTCACAGCAACTGCTCGTTAGCTATGTGATGCACAAACGTTAGCATGTGTATGCGGTGACACATAAATTAACTCCTTAGCTGCCTCTAAACGGGTTAGAAGATGGGGTCTCTCATGCAGGATTTAATTGCATGCAACAGGTTGATCAGAGCACTGAGTTTATGCAAGGCCATGCTCAGATTTTGTCCATCTGTGGGGATTTAGCAGCAGGCTTTCCATCGTCCTTCTGTCCAGTATTATTAACTGACTGGAGACAGCCTGTGATAAACAGACTTCTGTTCAATTCTCATCTGTTGGGTGGGGGACTTGCTTCTTTAACCCTCAACCCCATGACTTAAAAGATCAAACTTGGAGGCAACTGTCCCAACCGGAAACAAGATTGGCACAAGACCATATTTTAGACCCTTCTCCTAGTGTTCCTGGATTGGAGCCAGGCAATTAATATTGTAACATGGCAATTTTGTGGTTGCTCTGAGTGGGCTGATTTTTATTGACAAGTAGTCTTAACTAACGGTTTCACTGCGCTTGCTTTTCAATGAGCTCCTTTCCAAATCCCGAACATCGTAACGGACAAGCTGTCATTCCACGCCCCCCCTGTGACCTTAATTGTATTTTATAGCATAGAAATCAGGGTAGATTTTGACTCTTAATATTCAGTCTTATTTTATTTCTAAGCCTAATTACTGTGGCATTGGGATCATTTTAATCTTATTTAAAGAAGCAAAGCTTCTTACAGTAAACAGAATGGAGGAGATTCAGAAGGCTCTTTGGTCTAAGTAGTCAGAAAATCATGGGCAAATCCTTTTGTTTAAGCAGGGGGGATGTCAGGCACACAAATATAGCCTTGCAAGGACATTACGTCTCGGAGAAAAGAGAAACAAGAACTTGACGCTAGTTCTGAATCGGTGCTGAAAGGATGCGCGATGAGTTGTGCATCTGTCCACGCAGATGTGTCCCACGCAGATTAAGAATGCATTTCAGACTGCTAATTCTACCTACCTCATTAAGTTTTAATCTGTAGCTCTTAAGTGACATTTGCATAAATCAAGTGTTTTCTCACATGTTTGAGACAGCAATCTCGAAAAGAAAGCCAGACCCTGCCAGGAATCCACATCTGGATTTGCATTTTCAAGTTTTTTGTGTTTCAGCTCCAAATTTCATACCTTGGGTGTAGGTGGCTGGCATGATATTCATATGGGTCATGTTTTTTTCTTTGTCGAGGACTTTTAAGCATCTCTATTAAGGCTCCCAGGTCTTTCACAGCTTCTTATGTCATGCATCCTTCAGTTGTTCTTCTTGACAAGGAGATTTATAGATTTTATAGACGTTAGGGCTGGAAGGGACCTCAAAGATCATCAAGTCCAGTCCCCTGCCCCAGGGGCAGGAAGTAAGCTGGGGTCAAAGGATCCCAGCAAGATAAGATGTGGGTGTGTGGGACTCTTTCAGGACTCATCCAAGTTGCTTCATAAGCTGCTAGAGTTGTCTATATGGAAGGAGGCAGGGCTGCCTCTGCTGCCTCTTCAGCAACCCCTGAGCCAACTCAAGGAGTGACAGCTTGACAGGAAAAACTGTGCCTGGATCTTCCTTGTGGCATTATGAAAAAAGCCATTGGGATGTCCTGAGCGCTGTGTTCAAAATACAGCATCAAGACCCAAGAGGAATATGCAAAACATGGATGAAATACTCTAGTGGAGTAATTCCTTCAGTCTTAACAGAGTTGTGCTAAGAGCGGCTTTGGCCCTCGCTTTGATTTACATCAAGCCATTGTGCCTCTGAAGCCCCCATCTCTCAGTGAGAAACAGTTTTTCTCCTAGGATGGTGGAAGGTTACCCCCTGATTCTCCGGTCTCTGGTAGACATTACACTTAAGATACAATGGACAAGTGAATTGTGTCTTAAAGTGTAACCTGGCCATGCATTCAGGCCATTAATGGCATGGCAAAAAGCAAAACCAGTTGCAACATTATTTTTTTTAATTTTTTTAAAAATTTTTTATGTTTTATATTTTTATTTAGTAAATTGTTTCATGTTCCAAGCCAAATCAGCCAAATCAATTCCAAATCCATGAGTCATTCAAGAACCATATGTGGCCCTACTACCAGCAAATATCCTCCACCTTCACCTGGGGTTTCAGATGTTTCCAAATCATTTGGCGGACATCCTATGTGCAGGCCCAAGCCCGGCGGCTTGGGGTTCGGATGTCCCTGAGTTTGGTCGCCCTCAGCCATATGGCCGCGGGAGCAAGCTAGGGAGGAGTCTCCCATTTGTGCCTGGTTTCTCTCTCTCCTTAAAATGAATGTGTGGCTGGGTGGACCATACCCACTCCAGGCCTGGTGTGATCCCGACCCAGCCAGTGATCAGCTGATCATTGGCCAGCTCTGGGGGGGTCAAACCGACCCATTGGGTCCTCAGAGCCAGGTGACAATTAGCTGATTGTCAGCAGCTTTGCTGGTGCAAACAGAGCCTCGGATCATAATCCCAGGCTCCCCCTGTACTGGCAAGTAGGGCACGATTAGGGCCCGATTCCTGATCCTAAAATGCCATGGTTTGTCATATACGTGTCGCACGGCAGGAGGTGCGACTGGGATCGCGGGGTAGATCCCATCACTTCTTTAAGTGAACATCTGTCAATGGCATCATGATCATAAACCACCGAAGCGTCTTCTCCTTATTTCCTTCCAGTGAAACACCCCTCCCGGGGATCCCACCTGAGCACACCCTCAGCTTCGTCCTCCGGCTCCTGCCAGAGACTCCTAAAGAGCCCTTTGCTGTGTGGCAGATAACAGATGAAGACTTCCAGCCTCTTCTTGGTGTTATACTTGACTGTAAGGTTTCACGTGGCGTAGATTAGGTTCAGGTATATGTATGCATTTTATGAGAGCAACACCCCAGCTTTCATTAGTCGTTTGGATGTTTTTGTTGCCGAAAGGTGGTGTGCACCAAGCCTAGACGAGAAGCATTTGTTGCTGCTAGCAGCGTAACATTTGAAAATGCTTCCCCATGTAATTAAAAACTCCCTGTGTAATGCTTGCAAATGCTTCCTGTGTAATTAAAAAAAAAAAAATCCTCCCTAAAACCCTAATTTCTTTTACACTCTTTTGTAATACCTTCTTGTACTATTATTTTCCTTTCATTGGTCTTACAACTTCTTATTGTGAAGTATGAAATATTTCAGCATGCTTAAGCATATTGCTTTATTAATTTTTGCAACGTACTGTAGGTGAAATCAAATTCTCTTTTGATTCTAAGCTGTTATTTGTCCTATTTTCCCCTGTAGCCAGTAAGAAATCCTTGACCTATTTCAATCATGACTACAAGACTGATTTACAGGAAGTCATCTTTGACCAACAGGAAGTGAAGAAGATATTCTATGGGAGCTTTCATAAGGTCCTTATCAAGAGAGGGAGAGATTTAGCTCATTAACTCACAAGTGCAGGCTGAGAAACAAAAATGCAACCAGTATATATTATTCATTTTGAAAAGTGGTTATTAGCATGTGCTAAAAAAAATCAGTAGCAATTACTGGAGTTGCGATGTTAAGACATTTTGGGTCATCCCATATGAAAAATATATATTTTCCACATTGTTTAAAAAAAAAAGAAAAAAGCTTGATCTACTTATATGTTTTAATATACATGTGTGAGTATATAAAATATATTGCTACATTACAAACTTGGCTAATTTTCACATTTAAAAGATAGTATCTGGTAGATGCATGAAACACTAGAGCAGTGGAATAAGTTTGGTATGTTGAACTGTGTTCTTCCCTCCCCCCCTTTTTTTTAAATATGAAATTTTGCCAGTTTTGTACAATATACATATTTTATATATTTTCATATATACATGTTGGTAAAGTTATAACCTCTCTCTGAAAAATATGTATTTTTCTCCCTAAGGGATGCGTGATAAGTGCTACCGTGCTCCTTCAATTCATCCACTTTGATTTAATGTTGTCCCTGACTTCTCTCTCTCAACTGACTTATTCCTTGCAATGTGCACTTTTCCCTTCTGGCTGCAGCCTGGGAGCTTCAGGGGCGTGGAGAAAAAGCATCACAGGAGAAGCTGTGTTAACCAAACAGTCCTTTCTTTTTTGGATACATAAGCCCAAATCCACAAAGGCACCTAGGTGCCTGACTCCTAATGTAACATTGATTTCAAGGGGAATTTAGACATCTCCTTAAGGGCCAGATACTTAACTGCCTTGAAGACTTAGGTTGAAATGAAAAAATGAGGCTTGTTGGTGGAGAGCCGTGGAGGGGCGTGTGGAAGAAATGGTGAGCAGGTCAGCAAGTTAGCTTGGAGCGTGACGTTGGGAGGTTTAAAAAGCTTTCAGGGCAGTAACAAATTGGATTTGGCAATAAATATGGAGAAGAGCAGGAGAGAGTAGTAACTTATCTTTCACTCCTTGCACCGCCAGCCTCGGGCATTCTGTGGGCGACTGCCTCATTCAGGCGTTTGATTTCTGAATGTCTCCTGCAAGAGGTCAGAAAAGCATGTTCCTCTCCAGAGTGGCAGGTATCCAGGTTGTAGCCATAGTGGTCTAGAGAAAAAAGCAACCAGGACACGTGGTAGAGGTGATATCTTTTATTAGTCCAACTCAAATTTTTGCAAAGAAATTCTTTAATTGCAAGCTTTCGGGCACAAACACCCTTCATCAGGCATCAGAGAAAAGATTGTAAAAGTTCTCCTAGGTAGAAATGAAAATTCATGTTTCATAGGAGAGTTGAAGGTGGTTTGGAAAAGTTCATTTTATAAGCATATTAGGCTCAGAGAAATATGAATCCATCCTGCTTACCAACAAACAACTTCCAGGTAAACAGCCTATTCCAACTTTTCCTTGAGCCTAACCTGCATAAAATGAACCGTTTCGAACAGGAGATTTTATCACACCTTGAACTCTCCTATGAAAGATGAACTTTCGTTTCTACCCAGGAGCACTTTTACAATCTTTTCTCCAACACCTGACGAAGGGTGTTTGTGCCCAAAAGCTTGCAATTAAAGATTTTTTTTTGCAAAAATCAAGTTGGTCTAATAAAAGAGATCATCTCTACCACGGGTCCTGATTGCTTTGTCCTCTCCAGGATCACTACAGTGGCTTCCCCCCACCCTGCAGTCCAAGTCCTGCATGCTCTAATGAAAAGCCTCGTGCCTTCAGGAGAGAGCAAACCTGATTAAGGGAAAGGTCTGCATAAAATCTGCAGTTTAGACCCAGCAAGGCCCAAAATAAGCAGATGTAGTTCATGTGGTTACTGCAATGAAGCAGTGTTACTTTGGCCAAGAATACGCTGTCGGGGCTCCTGGCCTCTGCCCGTCGACCTGGGTTTCCGATGCCCTGCAGGTAACGGCCGCTGTCCCACGGTGATGCATTCAATGATTGCTTTCCCGTGTCAGTCTGGAAGTCCCTCATATGCTAGTGCCTTCTAAAGAGGATAGTCATGTTCTGTCTCATGTCTTTCCCTCTGGCACTGGATAAACTGTTCAGGGTCCTGTTTCACTATACATCTTCCAGAGCGCATTTGAACGTGTGTCTGCACTATAGTTTCTCAGTCCACCTTGACATGCATATAAGCATCCCCTTCTGCCCTGTGTTCTTGCATCTATGACCACGTGGTGTTTTAATATTACCTGTCTTTGCTGGCGGCAGCATCTTAAATCCAGTCTGGTCCACCATTATTTAAAAGGACAGGGTTCATTTTGGCCTTTGATTCCATCTTAACTTTGTGTCTCTGTGTCCCGAGTATGAACTATTGTCAAAGGCAATCTGTTTTAGGCTCCTGTGCTTAAACTTCCCTTGAGTTTTCCAACTAACTCGACTTGACACGATTAGAATATATATTTTTTTGGTGAAATATTGCTAGATCGAACATGCTTAGTGCGAAGAGTGGGCAGATCGGTTTCTCTAGTACAGTTAATTTATAAAAACAAGAAGAGTGAGAAACCCAAACCCTAAACCGAGCTTCAAAGACCCCAGTGCTGTGGGGTATCTAATCTAGCCTCATAGCTAGGATCCTTTCCTGACTGTGGACTGAACCAGAGCTGCAAATCCAGCCAGACCCATAAATTGCATCTGGATTAAACTTGGATTCACTCCTGATTGTAAGTCTGGTAGGCAAGGCATTTTCAACCTGGTAGCCTGCCCATACCTCCCAAAGCTATGCTGTGCCAACAGAGAAATGCAGTGTTTGTACTGGAGTATATTTGTCACAATGAAGGCACGGATTTCAGTCCCACTCAAAGCTGGAGTGTAGTTGGTGGATTAAGTGTGTTTGGAAAGTAGGGGCAAGTAGCGTGGATTTAAAGTCATATTCCACCAGGTGGGACGTGCTGTTTTGCTTCTTACCTAAACGTCCTGAATGCTTTTCACCTCCTTAAGTGTTTTGCTTTGTTTTGTGTCAAATATGCAAAGGGGAAAACGTGCTTTTCTCCCGTATGCATCACACTTCTCTATCGATGCCATTAATAATCACTTTGCAAGCAGAACAATAACTTGGAGTTGTAGAATAGCTCCCGGGGAATATAAAAGAGAGGCCTTGCATTTTCATGTCTGGCAGGAAATGAGGTATTTGTGTTGCAATAAAGTTGTTTTCCAAGGCCCTGCAGAATGTGACTCATGGACTGCTAATGGGGTCTCCTGTCCTTACACCATAAGGTTTCCAGTTAAAATCTGGACCAGGCTGACAGGGAGAGCAGAACTAGTTGAAGTCGAAAGAAGGGGAAGAATTTCCCTTCTCACTTTTCTTTTTTAATTCAAAAATTGAAAAATTGCAAACTGGTTTAAAAAAAAATGGTATTTCAAAAAATTGTTCCTGAGATCCCGTGTCCCACTTTTTGGTGAAATTTCAATATTTAAAAAATGTTCATCTCTAATTGACTGAAAGCCATCTCTGTGTCCCCAATGGCTCTTTAGTCTATAGGATCTCAGTGGATAAGTGCCCTCACCCCCAAAACAGCACCATGCACCAATCTCATTGGGCAGACCCAGGATGGGATTTATTCTGGAAGATGACGAGTAATTTAACATCACAGCCCTGGGGATGGTTTCTCCAGAGAATGGTTGCCTTGAGTTGTGAAGCGCTGGTTTTGCATTTTAGATACGTTAGCTATTAGAAGTGTGGGTTAATAATTGTTTTCCAACTATTTAAGTTGGACTAATAAAAGATATCAGATTCACCCAAAGAACCTTGTCTCAGCCATTAGAAGTAATTCTACGTTGCAGTGCTTCTCAACTTTTTGTGACTCGAGTCGCTCCTTTTTTGACAACAGAAAAATAAAAGAGTGGTTCTTTGTTGCAAACCCCCCCCTCAGGACGACCACAGCAGGTCAGACTCTTTGTTCACACTATAGATTCCTGTAGGAACACTCTTGAGTTGATCTTGTGGCCCATGGTTGCACACATAACAGTGTGAATACTGCGTAGCTCCCTGCAGCACCCCATAAAGCATATCAAGGCACCCCAGTTGAGAATCACTGCTCTAGTGCTTTCCAGCCCAGATCCTTTGCAATCACTAAAAACACCTGCCTCCGCCGGTAGATGTGTACATGAACCATCCCACAGTTGAGGTCCAACAAGTCTCTTCTTGCCTGTTCGCCAGGTGCACATAGCTGTGAGTCATTTCAAGATCAAACTCTACCTGGACTGCAGGAAAATAGCGGAGAGACCAGTCAATGCGGTGGGCAGCATCTCCACTGCGGGCTTTGTCATGCTGGGGAAGCTCACAAGGACCAGAGGACCGAGGAGGACTAATAAAAGATATCAGATTCACCCAAAGAACCTTGTCTCAGCCATTAGAAGTAATTCTACGTTGCAGTGCTTCTCAACTTTTTGTGACTCGAGTCGCTCCTTTTTTGACAACAGAAAAATAAAAGAGTGGTTCTTTGTTGCAAACCCCCCCCTCAGGACGACCACAGCAGGTCAGACTCTTTGTTCACACTATAGATTCCTGTAGGAACACTCTTGAGTTGATCTTGTGGCCCATGGTTGCACACATAACAGTGTGAATACTGCGTAGCTCCCTGCAGCACCCCATAAAGCATATCAAGGCACCCCAGTTGAGAATCACTGCTCTAGTGCTTTCCAGCCCAGATCCTTTGAAATCACTAAAAACCCCTGCCTCCGCCCGTAGATGTGTACATGAACCATCCCACAGTTGAGGTCCAACAAGTCTCTTCTTGCCTGTTCGCCAGGTGCACATAGCTGTGAGTCATTTCAAGATCAAACTCTACCTGGACTGCAGGAAAATAGCGGAGAGACCAGTCAATGCGGTGGGCAGCATCTCCACTGCGGGCTTTGTCATGCTGGGGAAGCTCACAAGGACCAGAGGACCGAGGAGTGGGTCGGCCACCGTAAGTCCAAGGCTTATTCATTTTCAGGAGGATCTGTGGGTCCAAATTCAGCCGGATGGGGATAGGATGATGGTCTCCCATCCCTCTGGTGCGGAGTGCCTTATAGCACATCTGTGAAGCTAGGCAATGTGTTCTCTCCCCCTTCCTTTTTTAGAGACTTAATGAGTTTTTCTTAATGCAGTGGCTTTCTCTCCTTTCTCCTTCTGGAAGTGCCGCCTTTGAGGTTGGGGACTAGCCATAGTGTGGAGTGCTTGAACTGCAAGGAAACAGCAGGCCTTTTGCTTGAATACTGCCTTGTTTCAGAGCCAGAGGAAACTCTGATTCTGCCGTAAGATGCAGAAGAGGCAGGACTGGAGGGCAAGCTCCCACGGAGTAGCGTCAGCCAGTAATGGGGATTGCACGGCAGTACATGTGGATGTGTTTTGTTCGGTCTCCCTGCCAAGAAAGCCTTGTCCCTGGGTGCGTGCATGGATGTCTGAAAAGCGATGCACAGCTTTAGAGGTTCACTGCCAGTTTAACCAAAGAGAAACCAGCTCAATGCCAGCCCATGTGACAAAAACAACCAAACCCTGGCTTGCTAGGGAGAGAGGAAGTAAGCACATGGACCTTGCAGCGGGCCCCAGAAAGGAGTGAATGGGCAAGCTTCAGTCCCATGGGGTCAAGCAACATTTAGAGACAAAAACATGCCCTGGATCTGATTCATCCTTACCTTGCACTTTGTGTTGCCCCTGACAGCAGTGTAAAGTGAGTGGAAAATCGCTACAAGATCATAGGACTACTTCACTTTGTGCTGCTCTAAACCCTTGCTTAAAGGGCTGGTCAGCAGTTGAACGATGTGCCTTTTCCACTTGGCTTGCACCTGTAGAGCTAAGGATTTGCAAACCAGACAAGGTCAGCTGGTTGCAACTTCCCACACCTGAAGACAGCTCTGCATAAGCAATCTGGCCACAGGCATTGCATGCAGGCTCAGCCAACTCAAGGGAGAAGCAGTCATTCAGCGTACCATGAAAAACATACCTGACTCGAGTCAGCAGCATTCCCTGTGATGTACAGGAACAGATGGGTAACAAAACAGGGGGACACCGAGTCAAGAAGACCTCGGTTTGCATGCCACAAAAAAATGCTGCTGCAGTTTAGACTGGCAGCGACCCCGTCAGATCCTTTCTTGGGAGTTAAAATACCTGGTGCTCGTCTTCGTTTCCCCTTTAGCAGCTTAGCTAGCGAAGTCGAGTAATTGAGGAGCCGCTAACGAACAGCTCGCACCGTCTCCACTTCCATCATCCTTCAAGCCTAGTGAGGCTTCACATCTACGTCCGCTCAGCTGCCCTTGAGAAGACAGAGTGCCTCATTATTGGTTATCATCCAGCCTTATTTCATTTGAGACGTCTTTAAATGCCAGTTGATCTACCGGGCTAATTTTATATCTATATGCTACACGTCACACTCCCTCCATTAGTCCCCTTTCTCATTGTTAAGTGCATGAGAGAAAAAAGCCTCGATTCAGTGAAAATGGCATTTAAAAAAAAAAGCAGTCTATCTTAAAATGCACCAGCTTTTTTTTTTTTTTATTTAGTTTTCATGTGGCATTTGTCCCCCGTGCTAATCAAAATAGAGGGATCTGGCAGCTGAAGGAGAGGAAGACGGGGAGATTGGGGGTGGGAAGTTGGAACGTCTCCCAAGAATACCTGCTGCTTTTGTTCTCCTACCAATTTCCTTGAGTGGCAGCAAAGGAAAGTGGGTTTTTTTTTGTTGTGTTGTTTTTTACATTTTGGTTGGTGCCGAAGCCAATTACTCAGAGCTTTGGGATTTGGGGAGCTGCTATTGATGTGTGAATAAATCAGGAACGCAGCGCTACGGGCATGGGCCTTGCCCGGTGTGTCGCTTTGCACGGCTCTTGACTCGGAGACCCGAAGACAGTTCCTGGGTGCTCCTTCTAAGTGCTACATCGCTGTGCATCTGTATCTGGTCCAATTGCAACCGAATGAGTGTCTTGGTGTAAAGTGGAGGGGGGAACAAAAGACATGAATGAATTTATAGGGGTTTCTCTTGCAATTGACTGCCCCAGCATGCAGCCAAGAGCCGACATGCATTTTCCCCCTAGATCTGTCTGCGGGGTGGCAGTTAGAACGAGCTATTCTTCCCTTTGTTGTCTTAATGAGATTTGGGGTGAGCTCTTGCTAAGAGCATAAAATAGTTTCTGCATTCGGTTTGTAACTGCTGTACTAGGGACCATCGAGATATCCACGCGGTTTTACCCTTTTTCTATGCTTGTATTCTCATCGGGACCCCCGGCTTCAGCAATGCAGGGTGGTGGAATATCTACGCGTGCCTACATAGATGTAGGTTTTGCAGCTTTTCTCATGAGTGTTATCTACCTCTCTCTTTGCTCCACAGTTTCAGCTGCAGTCTTTGCAGATTGTGTGCAATGCTTTGTGGGCAGAGGATGACCGATGTTGTGAGCTCCCTGCACTGGTAAGACACAAAGGACCTCTCTGCTCCCTGACATCCAACGGGGGAATTTATCACGTAGGACCAAGAAGGAAATGCTGGTGTTTTGAGGGGCGCAGGAGGTGATGATGTCCCCCTTGAGACACTAAGGCCATGTAGTTATCAGCTTGAGACTCATGCATGTGCACATGCTTTGAATGCAGGGGGAACATGCACCTGGGCACACAGCCACTAAGACAAGCTTGTTCTCTTTCTTCAGAGAGATGAAGAGACGTGTCCTGCTTTGGCTCCTGCCTGTACCTGCATGTCCGGTGTCCCAGGCCTGCCAGGTCCCCCCGGGCCTCCTGTAAGTCCAGCTTTCCATGTTTGTCCCCAGAAACAACTATGCACAGCTCTATGGTTTGGTGCTTCTGGGGCACGGCATAGCCAGGGGCAAAGGGCAGGTGCTTCCAGCAGCCCAGGCACATAGTGGGCATAGGAAAAGAAATCCAATGCCACACAGAAGCATGAACACAAGCAGCGAAAGATGGCATGTGCCACTGCAAGACTTTGTCTTTTTTCCCCTCTCCCTTTTCTTGTGTGACCTCCTGATTGAAGGGGTGCCCAGTCATTTTAGACCCTGCAACTTTGGTGGGCAGGGATGTATCGCTGCGATTGCTATTCCCACACCAAGCAAATACAGGACCAGACCAGAATGCTACTCTGAAGTCTGAATGTCCCACCTTTGGAGGGAGGAGAAATGGTAGCTGAAACAAAAAGATGTTGCTTAGATTTTGTATGTCCCCAGTGTCTCAGGGCTTCCTGGCACTGGGTCCAACCCCCTCTCTACAGAGGAGTTGTATACAGCAGCATACCATGGCCTGGCTTTGATTTCCTCTCTCACTGCCAAAGTGCAAACACTAATCCGGCAGGGCAGTAATGGCAGCTGGGACCAGCGAGAGTGTTTCCCGATACCATGCTAATCCTCTTAGGGGAGGAAGGCCAGCTGCCCTCTTGGTCTGTCTATAGAGATCAGCTAGATAGGGAGCTTTGTGAAGACCTGAAATGCAAAAAACCCTTATTCCCTTTTATTTGTGATTAAATGCACAGAACAGGGAACCTCTTAAGGCTTTAGTGAAACCTCTGCTCTCTGAAGTGCACAAACCCACCAGGAGACCCCAGTACAAAACCTGGTTCTGTACAAGCCAATTTGATCTACTTGCATTGCCTAAGGTTTTGCTAGTGGCCTGCAAAGTGTGTCACAGCCATGTGCAAAGGGCAGGGACTTGGATGCAAGGAGCTTGTAAGTGAGGCACATGAAGGGAGAGGAAAATCGTCCCTTTCTGTCTCGCAGGCATTGCCGGAAAAAAAAATAAAGCGCACACACTGAATTTCAGGACACACAGGTAGAGAGGGGAAACATTACAACTCTGGCTTTTCTTCTCACCCTTTAGGTACACTGAGTGCTTATAAAATCCTTTGGGGTGCAGATTCACAGACTCATAGATAATGAAGGTGGGAAGGGAGCTCAGGAGGTCACATCTAGTCCAACCCCCTGCTCAAAACAGGACCAGCCCCAGCTACAACATCCCAGTCAAGGCTTTGTTGAGTGAGCCTTAAACACCTCCAAGGATGGAGACTCCACCACCTCTCTGGGGAGCCTGTCCCAGTGCTTCACCACCCTCCTAGTGAGAGGTTTTCCTAATATCCAGCCTTAGCTTTCCTTGCTGTAACTTGAGAGTCTAACTTTGTGCCCCGTGACTGGCAGCTGCAGGAACCATGTGCATTTGCAAAACACGGTTGGATTTTTTTTTTCCTGAGCAAACAGCAACAGAGTCTATCTCAAAGCTTCTTTCCCAATACAACAGCATTCCCAGAGATCACATGCTATTAAAATATGTTAACAGTAATTGCTCCTGTCCCAGCTAGTAGGTTTGGTTTAGCTTGTTCAGCTTTTTAAAAAAAACAACCCGATGATATGATCCAACGGTGAGGGCAGTCTTGTAGTTGAGAAGGAACGGCAGTTTATTAATGCCAAATGGGAGTGCACAGCACATTGCATTATCAGTGTACTGCCACCTAGTTACGAGCTCACATTGCCTGGTCGTTTTAGATGATATCTATACCGTGCACTTGTGGAGAGAGGCAGGTTTTATGAATATGGTTCTCATAGGGAATATGGTTATGAGATGTGAAACCCTGACTGACATAATCATTGCAAGAGCACTTCCTCCCATGGTCCAAGTGATTCCAAATGAGTAAAGGGAGTGTGGATGCCTCCCACCTCAGACATATTTAATCCTCCTTAATGAGCTGCTTTTGGCCAGAGATAAGTCCAGATAACTCTGTGAATGAGCTTTAGGGCACTTCTGGAAGAGCCCTCAGCAAAGCCTCCTGGTCAGACTGACGGCATCCAAATCCATTGCAGTTTACAATCAAGAATAGAAACTTTCAGATTAAGATGTTAGTTGTTCTGTGCATCAGAGAGGATTATTTTCCTCCCAGGCCTAGGGGCTGTGCAGATGCGTAGCTAAGCCAGGTCTCCGTGGATTCAGTCCCCCCCCGCGCTGTGTTCGATTGAAGAGGACGTTCAGTAGAACTGCCTGCTCTTGAGTGTTTGCAAGTAGGAGCCTGCGCTTCATCCTCATCTTGCTGCAACGGTCTGAAATGGAGATGAATCCACTCAGCCTCATGAGAGGCACTTTCAGAACAAAGAGTAGAGTCTCATTATCATCAGGAAATGTTTTCTGGTATTCCTGGGTCCTTATTTTCTTGGTTCAAGGTTACTGAATATGCCCCAAGGCCAAGTGGCCTGATGCTGGTCTCATGCCATTGAGTGATGTGATTTGTAAGCACTACCTGCTTGTTACAGTTTGACCCAGGACTTACCTAAAGTCCTGGGGGGCGTATGGGGCAGGAAGGTTGCAGGCAGGGGCTGTATGCAAGGAGCTTTCCCCACTTGCATGTGAACCCTAACAGCCTTCATGACCAGTTTGCTCTGCAAACCCATTCCTGGGCTTCAAGGTGCACGGTAGGACAGAGGGTATTTGGCAGTAACCACAGTCTTGTGCTTTCTCTCATATGGGCAGGGCAGTCCAGGGCGGAGAGGACCTCAAGGGGAGCAGGGGCACCCAGGCCCCAAGGTGAGTGATGCCCTTCAACACGACCTGGGGTTTGGATTTTGTTGCATGTGGCTTGAAGTTGAGAGGCCCGTACTGAAACCTGCTCTCCAATACAGCTGTGTCTGCATGCCCCAGGTCCAGGTTAAGCCGACACCGCTGACTCGGGATGTAGCATCCTCGCTGTATCCAGCCGCGTAGAACAGGATCGGTGCATTTTAAAAACCAGACACGGAGAATCTCTGTAATTAGATGGAGGATGACCAATTTGTTATCCCATGCTGAGGGCCAACAGGCTTCTCTTTGCCACAGAATATGGATTAAGGCAGGATGCCTGCTCTAAGACTCTTGCAGGCATTTTGTTGCATTGGGGAAGTAAATTAACCCGATAAGTGACTGTTTAGGAAAGCAGCCTTGCTGCATCAGAAAGCGTTCATCCTTCTCCTGCTCTTCCTGCTGTCGTCTTTGATTTGGTGTCTGCTGTGGTGTCAGGTATCTGAGTTGGTATTGTTGCACTACAGCAAAAATCCCAGTAATAGGTTAAATCTCTGCTGCAGAATAGCTGAGATGAGCATTAAATAAGTGCCAGCATGGTATAGATTCATAGACGCTTAGAGAAGTAGGGCTGGAAGGGACCTCCAGAGGTCCTCTAGTCCAACCCCCTGCCTGAGACAGGATCATTGCTATCCGTGCTGCTTTCCCCTTTGCAAGCTGACCGTATAGTTATAGAGCTAGTCAGGAAAAAGCCAATGAAAAATGGATGCAATTTTCAGCTAAGGTTCTCCCCCTCCTCCTTTATGACAAACTCGAATCATTAGATTAACTTGCTGAATGGCTGGGCTGTGCCTGCACCTCTGCAAATCAGGGGGTGTTTTGCCATTGACTTCTGAGGCAGCTGAATGAACACCTTGGACTTCAAAGGCAAAGGTGGTAAAGCTGGGCACGTGATGAGTTGGCAGTCATGGGCTCTTGCCTTTTGCCATAGCTGCTCTGTGCAGCTGGAAGGCACAAATATGCCTTCCTTTCCTGTGTCATATCTTTGCTTTTAGGGTGAGCCAGGCCCTCCTGGACGGGTCGGCCCCCAGGGTCCTGGCGGACAGCAAGGCTCTCCGGGATCCCAAGGAATCACCGTGCAAGGTCCAGTGGTACGTGAGAGCTCACGGCTTTCTGTCTCTTTGTGCTATGCAGTACCTTAGTGGGTTTTCTAAAGGGACAGGGTGACAAGAGCACCTGAAGCCTGTCTACATCCGGGCCCACAACCTCATTGCTAGCAGCTGCCATAGGGGCACTAGTTTTTCTTGTATTGGCAAAGCACTCGATTGAATTATTTGGGGTGAAGTCTATTCTGACCTGGAGGTTCCCTTCAAGACCCCAGCAAGGGTGATTGTGCAGTGACCATGCTTAGACAAGGCAGCGGGTGGAGATCTATGGCATACCTCCCACCTTTGGGCACACACATTGCATACGCTCCTGCCTGCCTTGCTATGAGGCCCAGGCAAAATTCAGAGGTACGGAGATTGTGGTGATACCCCAGTGGGCAGAAGTCACTTTGCATCGGAAGGTGCATTTGAAGGGTGCAGGAAAGGTTGCATTTGAAGGGCACTTTGCATTTGAAGGGTGCAGGGAGGTTTCTTGGGCTGTTGCAATGAGTCGCCCAGAGCAGGGAAGAAAGTGGCAGAGTATATGTAATTATTTTGCTGTATTTTGACTGAAGGGACCACCAGGGATCAAAGGGGAGAAAGGAGACACAGGAATCCCAGGCATGCAGGTAATAATGGAAGATTCTCCTTTGAATCATCTCAAGGATGGATCCACCTGCTCTCCTGCTGGAGGGTATCAGCAAGGGGGTTTGCTTTCCTTACTGACCCTCTCTGCTTTGAAACCCCATGAGGATAAAAATACCTTCTACTGGTATTGACCTCACTCAGCCAAACCCATGCCAGGGCTGTGCCAGTGCAAATGTGCCCTGTGCTTGGCAAGTATTATGCCCATTTCACAGAGGGGCAAACTCATCACAGATACTTGGCTTTGGGGAGACTGAACCTATAGAGGAGTTCAGAATGGCTCTGAGCAGTCTAGCCCCCTGCTCGAATGGGTCAAAGGACATGCAGCTGGACCCATACAATGCTTGGCTACTTCAGTGTCTGATGTGATGAAGGGAGAAAGGGAAGCTTTGTCCTTAATGGCAGTGAAAGAGCCCAGGCACCTAAAAACAGAGTGAGTGTTTTAATGACATATCCTGTATGCCCATACCCCATTGCCCAGTGCAGATCTATAAAGGTGGAAGTAAGAGCTGGACACCAGACCTGACTAGCTGCTCTTTTACAGGGTATTCCTGGTGTCCAGGGAGCTCCAGGCAGAGATGGCCTTCAGGGAGCCAAGGTAAAACACACAGCCCTGAGCTTCAGATAGGAGTGGCTTTGCACCACTGAAAACTGATCTACTGCTTGGTGCCTAAATATGGACTTAGGAGCCCAAATTGAGGCCAAGCTTTTGGATCTGGGGCATATGCAACAGTTCCTGGAAATTGCTCCTGGGTGTGGTGCTGGGGAGACACCTGCCAATGAACTCACACC